CCATATTGGCTTGATAACCCGTTTTACTTAGTTTTTCAACCGGTAATGGATCTTGATTGTGAGTGAATCTAGGACTATCTTTTGAGCATTTTCTTTTCAATCTAATCAATACTGAGGTTAGGAAAACATCATGCTTGATCTTATAAAAAATTTGGTGATAAAATGACTAAAAACTCGCATAGTCTCGATACCTCGTTTTACTCAGTTTTTCAGCCGGTAATGGATCTCGATTGGGGGTGAATTGAGAAATATTTTTTGGAGCGTTTTCTTTTTCATCTAATCAATACTGAGGTTGGGTAAATAGCATGCTCAATCCCATTCAAAATCTGACGATTCAATGAGCAAAAACCTATATTGGCCTGATACCCCATTTTACACAGTTTTTCAACCAGTAATGGATCTCGATTGGGGGTGAAATGAGGACTATTTTTGGAGCATTTTCTTTTCTATCTAATCAATACTGAGTTTAGGTAAACAGCATGCTCGATCTAGTTGAAAATCTAATGATAAAACGAGCAAAAAGTCGCATAGGGCCAATACCCTGTTTTACTTAGTTTTTCAGCCAGTAATAGATCTCGATTGTGGGTGAATTGAGGACTATGCTTTGAGTGTTTTATTTTCTGTTTAATCAATACTGAGGTTAGGTAAATATCATGCTTGATCTTGTCAAAAATCTAAGGATAAAATGGGCAAAAAGCCGCACAAGCCCGATACTCCGTTTTACTCAATTTTTCAGCCGGTAATGGATCTCGATTTTGGGTGAATCGAGGATTATTTTTCTAGATTTTCTTTTATTTCTAATCAATACTAAGGTTAGGTAAACAATATGCTCAATCATGTTCCAAATCTGACAATAAAACGACCAAAATGCCGCATAGGCTTGATACCTCGTTGTACTCAGTTTTTCAGCCGGTGATGGATCTCGATTGTGGGTGATTCAAAACTATTTTTGGAACGTTTTCTTTTCCGTCTAATCAATAATAAGATTAGGTAAACAACATGATCGATCCTGTCCCAAATCTGACGATAAAACAAGCAAAAAGTTGCATAAGCCCAATACCTTGTCTTACTTAGTTTTTTAGCCTATTCAGCCAATAGTGGTTCTTGATTGTGGGTCAATCAAGGACAATTTTTGGAACGTTTTCTTTTTTTTCTAATCAACACTGAGGTTAGATAAATAGTATGCTCTATCCTGTCTCAAATCTTTCGATACAATGATCAAAAACCTGCATAGGCCCAATACCCCGTTTTACTCAGTTTTTCAAGCGGTAATGGATCTCGATTGTGAGTGAATCTAGGACTATTTTTGGAGCATTTTTTTTTTCAGTCTATTCAATACTAAGGTTAGGTAAATACCATGCTCGATCTTATCAAAAATTTGATGATAAAATTACTAAAAACCCATATAGTCCCAATACCCCGTTTTACTCAGTTTTTCAGTCGGTAATGGATCTTGATTGGGGGTGAATCAAGGACTATTTTTGGAGCGTTTTCTTTTCCGTCTAATCAATATTGAGGATAGGTAAATAGCATGCTCAATCCCGTCTAAAATCTAACAATACAACGAGCAAAAACCCGCATAGGCCCGATACCCAGTTTTACTAAGTTTTTCGGCCGATAATGGATCTTGATTGTGATAAATCGCGGACTATTTTTGAAGCGTTTTCTTTTTCGTCTAATCAATACTGAGGTTAGACAAACAGTATGCTAGATCTCATCAAAAATCTAATGATAAAACGAGCAAAAAGTTGCATAGGCCTAATACCCCGTTTTACTCAATTTTTCAACCGGTAATGGATCTCGATTGTGGGTGAATAGAGGACTACTTTTGGAGAATTTTCTTTTCTGTCTAATCAACTAAGGTTAGGTCAACGGCATGCTTGATCTCATCGAAAATCTGATGATGTAGGTTTATGGATCTATTCATGCAGCGAAACTTAAAAAATTTAGATCCAAGACCTAACCCATGATCCTATATTTGTTGTACATTATTTTACACATGAAAATAATTATCAAGATGTAATAGAAACCATACTAGTGTTTGGAGGTTCCTTCAAGGGATTTAGATTCGCTTCCACTCCAAGGTAGGAGTGCACAAACGGTATCCACATGAAAACAGGACGAATGTCGTTGGTTAATTTTATTGGCTAGTAAAATCACTAACTTTAAGAACCAAAATCTGCATAATTTTTCTTTGAGAGAAAAATTCTTTCTCTCATAAAAGGCTACACGTTTTGGAAGGGAGAGAGAGGGGTGGCTAGGGTTTTTTTTAATTGAAAGAATTCTCTCATTTTAATTTTAGTTGCACTTAAATTGTGCACACTAAAATCTTATTCCAATTGGATACTGGAATAGATTACCCTTGCAATCATAAATATATATTTATAGATTTAAATATATATATATTTTAAACTAAATATTTAAATATATATAATCTCACTAATTTAATTCCATATGAAATTAAATATAGACAACAACCTCAGTAAATTTAATTACACTATGAGATTACCAAAATGCCCTTTCATCTTAAAAGACAAAAATGTCCTTTCATCATAAATGACAAAAATACCCTATTCATAAATGACAAAAATACCCTTCTCATGAATTTTATTCTTAATCTGTCTTCTATGTGTACGACCTAAAGGCTCCTCATCATATCGGCAGTGAATTGTATCGTGATTGACAATCAATCAGTCGTCTCACTAGACACAGACCAAGATTGGCCTCTAGGCAGGCATCATGGCCACCTAATAGATTCGGATTCAGCGAAACCGTTACCTATCAATGATATGGTTATCGTGCAATCCAATCATTTCATCATCTATTATCTAATCAAGGCCCAGGCATAGAAATAGTGTCAACCTCGGATATCCTTAATATCTCGATATTCAGTTATTGGACCAACGACCAGAATAGATTGGATTGAGCTACAACTCAATCCTACTATAGCCACAGATTTAATGTCATTGCCATCTACTGAATTACTCAGTGAGATAATTTCTCCTATACCCGGGAGTGATGAATCCTCTGTCAATCCACCATAGTCTCGATACACTTTTCAATGCAACCAACCACTACCGTTCTGATAGTCCTGAATAGAACTACGTTGGGGTAGTGTCAAACTACACCAATTGGTGCACAAAGTGCTCCGGTGATCTCAAGTCTAAGGATCACATGCACCACCATTCGTTGGAGGATTTATTCCACAGACGCTAGGGTAACTATCTATGTGGAATCCTCCGGTGGGCCGATCCGATAAACTTGCCTATAACAAGCACCTATGTGTTGCACCAAGTCATCATCAAATAACCTTGACAAGTGAGATCTGTTACTACCTCTGGACAGGGTCGTCTAACACTATTATAGTCTTACTGTATTATATGTGTCTTAAGTCAGGATAATACTGGAGCTATGGACGTTTCTAGAATGGCCACCATATGTGTTCATAGGGTTCTCACTATCGAGATTTCAAACACTCGATACCCTCATCACGGTTCTATTATCCTAAGGGTATATATCATTTTCTTATACAAATATAATCAGATCACATGATATAGATAGATGCCTTTATTGATAATAAAACATGATTACAAAGAGTCAATTTACAAAATAGGATTGGCTCTAAGACACCTACTCTAACAAAAACGAGCAAAAAGCTGCTGAGGCATGATACCCCGTTTTACTTAGTTTTTTAGCTAGTAGTGAATCTCAATTGTGGGTGAATCGAGGACTATTTTTGAAGCATTTTCTTTTCTGTCTAATTAATATTGAGGTTAGGTAAACATCATGCTCGATCTCATCGAAGATCTGATGATAAAACGAGCAAAACATCGTGTAGTCCCGATACCCCGTTTTACTCAGTTTTTCAGTCGATAATGGATCTTGATTATAGGTGAATCGAGGACTATTTTTGGAACATTTTCTTTTCCATCAAATCAATATTGAAGTTAGGTAAATAGCATGCTCAATCCTATCCCAAATCTAACAATACAACCAGCAAAAACCTGCATAGGCCCGAGACCCCGTTTTACTCAATTTTTCAGCCGATAATGAATCTCAATTATGAGTGAATCTAGGAGTATCTTTGGAGCCTTTTGTCTATCTAATCAATACTGATGTTAGGGAAACAACATGCTCGATCTCGTCAAAATTGTGATGATAAAACGAGCAAAAAGCTACATAGTCCTGATACCTCGTTTTACTCAGTTTTTCAGCTGGTAATGGATCTCTCCTTTCAATTGTTGTCTCTTTTTCTTTTTTAAATTTTGGTGATGTTGAGTTGGTTTGATTTGCATTCAATTTGTTGTGTGTGTTGTTTTGAGTGTGTGGTTGTGTATTTCTCATTTTGATTGGGTGAGAAGGTGGGTGGAGGTGGGGTTGTGATGGTTCTTCGGTTCAGCTTCTGCAAGTGATAGTTCTTCGGTTTAGCTTTTGCAAGTGATGGTTGGGAGAGAGAAGAAAGTAGGGAAAAAGAAATGAGGGGAGAAAGAGAAGAAAAAGAAAGCGTTGGGGAAGAAGTGAAAAAAAAAAGTACAAAGGAGAGAAAAACAATTAAAGAAAGATGGATTGGAGGAAATATAAAATTTAGGTTATTAAAATGTGAAGGCCTATTTTACCCTTCATAACCTGATGATGAATTGACGTCGTCACACTTTTGGGGTTAACTTGATTGATTTCTGAAACTATTAGGAGGACTTTGATTAAAATCGTAATAGTTTTCCGAATATGAATTTCCAAAACTTTAGGGATAGAGTAATACTAGTCTTACAAAGAGACAAATCTAATCCTTAAAATTCATGATTGTCTCTCTCTCTCTTTCCTTTCTTTTAAGAGTTGAATTTATCTCTTTATATATTTCTTTATATACCTCTTTGTAAAGTTAGTATTACTCTTAGATAAATTGATTTTTACTCTTCGTCAAACTTTAAAAGCAAACAAATCCCGCATAAAAGATAAGTAATCAAAAAAATTAAATAAATAAACAAAACTGAAACGGCCAGCAAATTTTCCCTCAGTCCTGGCTGTTTTAAAAATCACAGATCCCGCCCTCCGCAATGAATCAGCCCCTATTTTGACTCTCAAATCTCTCCCTCTCTCTCTCTCTCGCTCTGTCCTTTTTTAAAAAAGCAAACTTTCGCTTATAATTCATTCGATTGCTCTTCTCGACCTCTAATGAATCAATTGCATATAAACTAATCGAATTCATTTGTAATTCCATTCATTAACTAGAGATGGGCAGTCCTAAGAAGAGTCAAAATAAGGGCTTGTTCACTGCCATGTCCTCTGGTTTGTCCATGTTCAGTAACGCCATGCACAGATCTGTCAACGGGTACTTCATTTTTATCTCTTCACACTCTTTTTTGTTTTTTTAATTTGTTTAGATTAATTTCTTTTTATTAGATGTTTAATTTTTGTACAATAAAACCCTAACGTGTACTAAATTTATCTGAGTTTCTTCAACCGTTTTGGTAATCAATTTTTAACATTAATGTTTCAGTTGCTATCAGTTCGTTCGTGATTTTGTTTATGTAGTTCTCAAGCAAATGATATAAAATAAATGAATTAGAATTGAATTGTTTGATTTATGAGGAGTTTAGGAAACTTTGGATTGACAAGTAAGCTTAAATGACTGGTTAAGGGATTTGTTAAGTTTAGAGTTAAGATGAGAAATAATTGTTTTTATTGAGTTTTTTGACGAGAACAAGTGGTTAAATTTAGCTTGATCATGTGATGTGGAGTTCAAATTAGCTACTACTTGCGTGAAGTTTATCCGTTCTGTTAAAATTTTACATGAGTGCTTGGCTTCCTGTGTTGCCTTTGAATTTGTTCGATTGGGGATCTGGTTAGAATTATCAACTTTTAAACTTTGGATAAATCTTTTGAAATGGTTCAAGTTATCAGTTTCTGGCTTATATATCTTTTTTAGGTTCCTTGGTTATGAAGGAGTAGAAGTCATAAATCCAGAGGGGGGCAAAGAAGATGCTGAGGAGGAAGCTCAGAGAGGAAGATGGAAGCAAGAGGCATGTTTTTCTCATTTTCATTTTATTTTAAAATTTAAAATTTAAAATTCCTTTTTTCATGCCTGTAGGACAGATGCATTTCTTCTGTTTGCATTTCTCTTAAAATTTGTGCATTTCTTATGTTTGCACTTCCATCTACTGTTCTCAGAATCTTGATGTTTGTCAGGCTTTTATATGTAAGAATGTTGCATATGTATAACTTATCCTTTGCTATAATGAGAAATAGTTAAATACTGTTGGGCAGAGAATATGCAAATGTTCTATGTATGTGGTAGCAGTGGTTGTCTTCAATTCATTGTGTATTTTATGTAATACGTTTGACATGATTAGTCTATGACCATTCATTTGCTGGAGAATGTCATAGAAAACTAAAGTTTCCCTTTGTTCAAGGTCTCCGCTTCTTTATTGCATTTTTAGTTCATTTTTTTTTCTTTTTCTTTTCTTTTCTTTTTTTCTTTTTTACTAGAGTGAAGTTATATAGCAGCTTATATGTCCAGTACCTAGTTTAATGCCTGATTTTTGAGCCTTTTTTTTTTTAATTATTTAATAGGAACGAGATAGCTACTGGAAGATGATGCACAAATATATAGGTTCAGATGTTACGTCAATGGTGACACTTCCTGTAATTATATTTGAGCCAATGACAATGCTTCAAAAAATGGCAGAGGTTTGTGCCACTGTTGTGGCTACGCTAATAGATTTGTGTTACTATTTTTTTCTTTTTTTAGGATGTCTTACAGTTTCAAGTTCTGTGATGCCTTTTGCAGTTAATGGAGTACTGTCACTTGTTGGATCAAGCAGATGAATGTGAGGATCCCTATGTGCGGTTGGTATATGCTGGTGAGGTTACTCTTTCCTTTAATTCTTCATGAGCCTTATGCTAGGGCTATCAGATGATGGATGGAAAGTATTTCTGAATGCAGCATCATGGGCTATATCTGTTTACTATGCCTACCAGCGGACCTGGAAGCCTTTTAATCCGATTCTTGGGGAGACTTATGAAATGGCTAATCATGAAGGGATTAAATTTATAGCAGAACAGGTGAAGTTCAACTTTATCTTTCTTTTTTCCCTTAAATGAATCGCATTCTACTTTTTCTACTTTTTCCCCATCTACTTATGTCTTTAGATACATGTTGTAGCTTTCATATAGCGAACAAAACTACCATTCCTCTTTATTTTTTCTTCCATTTTAAGTAATTTATGAATTATGACTGTTACTTTTAATTATGTCTTTGAGCTTGCTCTTTAGTTTGCTCTATGGTGTAGTTAATTATATTTGTTGTTTCACTCTATATTCCATTTCAGGTGAGTCATCATCCCCCAATGAGTGTTGGGCATGCTGAAAACGAGCATTTTACTTATGATGTGACATCAAAGTTAAAAACTAAGTTTTTGGGAAACTCTCTTGATGTTTACCCTGTTGGAAGGTAATAATGATGTTGCTCTTTAACTCAGTTTTTTACTTCTTATATGAACCTATGTTATATCCTATAATTATGCTTAATTCAATGTCTACATTTGAGTCTCTTTAAAGGTTCTATTGATGTCAACAGCTGTTTTCCACTTGTCAAGCCTGTATATTATTCAGTTTTCAATCTTGTACGTTATATCTATGTTCATGTAGTTTTTATGATTTGCAGAACACGTGTTACTCTTAAAAAAGATGGTGTGGTCTTAGATTTGGTGCCACCTCCCACTAAGGTTAATAATTTGATTTTTGGACGAACTTGGGTTGATTCACCCGGGGAGATGATCATGACAAATTTGACAACGGGGGATAAAGTTGTGCTATATTTTCAACCATGTGGTTGGTTTGGGTAATTTATTTACCTCTTTTCAATTTCACATTTTCAAGTAATTCTTTTCAATTTAGGATATCTTTTATTATTTTATTTTTAATTTTGAAGCTTATTCAGGCCCCTTTTCTTGTTAAATTTGTTTTAAGATTATATTTTGAAATGAGGATTGTATTCTCCAATAATTTTATTTCATATATCTTTCATATACTACAAACTCTAGTTATATAGACAACCTAGACCGCTCAGATAACTCTTAGTCTAGGATTATCTTTTTATTTAAATTTAATAAACTAGATAATGTTAAGATAACTCCTACATTAAAAAACAACCTAATCCTAGAATTCCTACACTCCCTCTTAAGCTGGTAAGAAAATGTTGATCATTCCCAGCTTGGAAATCAGATTGTCAAAACTTTGTCTAGGCAATACTTTTGTAAGGATGTCTGCTATCTGTGGGCTTTTAGGTAGGTAGGTCACACATGGGAGTTTTTTTCTATCTTCTCTTTGATAAAGTGGTGGTCTATCTCCACATGTTTGGTTCTATCATGATGCACTGGATTATGTGCAATACCAATTACAACTTTATTATCACAATAAAGCCTCATAGATTCCTCACTTTTGATCCCCAGTTTATATTAAGAGTCTTCTCAACCACATTAGCTCACAAATACCCTGTGCCATTGCACAAAACTCAGCCTCAACACTACTTCTTGCCACCACATTTTGTTTCTTGCTTCTTCAGGTTACTAGATTTCCCCAAATAGAAGTACAATAACCTGAAGTTGATTTTTTTTCATTCACCGAACCTGCCCAGTCTACATCTGTGAAAGCTTCCACTTTCTGTTCATTAGTCTTCTTAAAGAACAATCCTTTGCCAGGGGTCATTTTTAGATACCTCAAGATTCTGTTAATTGCGTCAAGATGTTTCTCCATTGGATTATGCATATGTTGACGCACCACACTCACAGTAGAAGCTATGTCAGGCCTAGTATGAGATAGGTATATCAATTTTCCAACCAGTCTTTGATATCTACCTTTCTCAACTGGTGTATCTCCACTAACTTTCTCAAACTTCAAATTCAGTTCAATAGGATTCTTGGCTGGTTTACATCCCGGCATACCCGTATCCTGTAATAGATCAAGGATATATTTCCCTTGAGAAACAGCTATTCCTCTCTTACTTCTAGCAATCTCCATGCCTAAAAAGTACCTCAATTGCCCTAGATCCTTTATCTCAAAATCCCATGCAAGAACCTTCTTTATTGTCTCCATCTCTTCAAAGTTGTCTCTTGTAAGAATAATGTCATCTACATACACGATTATGATAGTAAATTTACCATCATTGTTTTTGAAAAATACTGTATGATCAGCCTGCCCCTGAATGAACTCATACCTCCTAATGGCCTTGGTAAAGTTCTCAAACCAAGCTCGCGAAGACTACTTTAGGCCATACAACAATTTTTTTAACTTGCATACTTTGCTGCCCTTCTTGTTCCCCTCAAATCCTGGAGGCAACTCCATATAAACTTCTTCTGCCAGGTCATAATTCAAGAAAGCATTCTTAATGTCCAGTTGTTGTAAAGGCCAGTCCAAATTTGCTACAAGAGACAAAAGCACTATTCAACTTAGCTATCGGAGCAAAGGTCTCCTCATATTCTACTCCATAGGATTGTGTGAACCCCTTCGCTACCAAACTTGCCTTATACCTCTCAATTGTACCATCTGCCTTATATTTCACTGTGATCACCCATTTACAACCTACAGTTGTCTTCTCTTCGGGTAAACTAACCAGCTCCCAAGTCCTGTTTTTCTCTAGAGCCTTCATCTCTTCCATCACAGCCTCTCTCCATTTTTCATCCTCTAAAGCTTCCTGTACCGTTTTTGAAACTTCTATGGTTGAAAGATTAGTGGTTAACACCCTGGAAGCTGTTGACAACTTATCATAAGACACATATTTAGAAATAGGATGGAGTTTACAAGATCGAACCCCCTTCCTAAGAGCTATAGGCAGATGAATATCCTCACAGATTGACTCAGATTCATCAAGGGATAGTGTTTTCTTACCTTGTGACTGTGAGTTATCGACTTCTTCCAGTTGGGATAACTGTCTATGCTTCCCACCTTGGTGATTAGTTCTTCGAGAATAACGTTGGAGTCCAGGCTGATTCAGTCTTACCAGTCCTCCCCTTGTCTTATGGTTTGAGTTGGATTTGGATTTGAACTCAGGTCTATAGGACTCTGACTCTGACTAACAGGTTGCTTGCTATAGGACACTGACTCGGCCTCTGACTCGAACTCAGACTCTAACTAATAGGACTTAAAGGAATTGTTATTTCCCAAGACTGATCTTCATAGTCCTATAAACTCTCCCCCTGAAGAGGAGTGGGAAAGAACAGATAGGACTCAAAAAAGGTGACATCTCTGGAGACAAACATTTTCTTTCTCACAAGGCAGAAACATTGATACCCTTTTTGAGTAGGGGAGTATCCAACAAAGACACATTTAAGGGCCCTAGGATCTAGCTTTCCTCTATTATGGGACTGAATGTGAACAAAGGCAGTGCAGCCAAACACTTTTAACAGAAGAGAGTTTAGGGTCGTATATGTAGGAAATGTTTGAAGAAAAGTTTCAAGGTGTATGAAAATTAAGAATCCTAGTGGGTAACCTATTTATGAGATATGTGGCAGTTAAAACTGCCTAACCCCAAAAAGATTTAGGTACATTCATGGTAAACATTAAGGCTCGGTCAACCTCTAAGAAATGTCTATTCTTTCTTTCGGCTATTTCATTCTGCTATAGGGTATCAACACAAGACCTTTGATGTATAATCCCATGACTTGATAGACAGTTTCCTAGGATAGAATGAAAATATTCCCTACCATTATTTGTCCATAGGACCTGAATTTGTTCTTTAAACTGAGTTTTAGCCATGGAATGAAAGGTTTGGAAAATTTGACCTGCTTCAAATTTGTTCTTCATTAGATACACCCAACATAGTTTAGTGTGGTCATCAATGAAAGTGATAAACCACTTGGACCCTACAATGTTTGTAACCCTAGATGGTCCCCAAATGTCACTATGAATTATTTAAAAAGGCTTAGAACTCTTATATTGATGTGCTAGGTAAATTAACCTGCTGTATTTTGCAAGTTGACAGATTTCACATTCAAATGAAGATAAGCTTTTATTTCTTAACAATACTGGAAACAACTTTTGCAAATAAGAGAAACTAGGATGGCCTAATCTACGATGCCATAGCATTATTTCAAAATCAGCAAAAGTAGAGGTAGAATTACACCTAGATACTACAACTTTACTGTGTCTAAGGCAAGGTTTCTGGATAGTTTTACTATGTCTTTACTAGCTACATTTACAATGGAACCATCTGCAGTTTTTACCCTTAGATTGCCATAGCATGGGCTGTATGATACAAATAAACTTGAATTACCTAACATATGGTCCGAAACCCCAAAATCTATAACCCATGGTTTGTTTGTCCCTAGGCTAGTATGTAGGGTTGTACGGGAATTTCCAATCTCAGCAAATGAGCATGACTATCTATGTAAACTGGATTGGCCAAATAATTCATGCAAATGTTCCAATTGCTCTATGCTAAATGGTATGAATGGCTGATCTTCAGATTTCTTACTGTGTTATGCCTGAAAAATATAGGGCTGACGTAAGGTCCAGTCAACCTGCAAAAGTCAGAGCATGGGTACACCCGCAGCCTACTTCTGTCAGAATAGTGGGCGTGCGCTAGGCCAACCAGGAGCTGTGATGATCCTACGTATCCAATCCCTGCACCAAATCGCGCAAATATCTCTAGAAGGTGGGCAATGTGACATAAAGAGGGATCTGCACGGATAATCCCACCAACTCACAGATCCAGTAATCATTTCCTCAATGTATCCCACTATAAACTGAGAGCTCCTCTCTCATTCAAGGGATTCGGGCATTTTTACTCTTAATTAACTATTCTATCTCTACAATTTATAAGCATTCACTCGTTTGTACAATCATTTTGTAAGTCAGTCAGCTAATGCGACCTAACCCCTATCATTAATAAAACATCAGTGGACATAGGACTTGCTACCTTAGCATCCGAACCACTTTAAAAGTTGTTTCCACTATATTTATTCTCATCTTCCTTTATATCCATGTGTGTCTTCTGGGCCAACTCAGCATTTCACACGTGCGTTTCGTTGGTGTAAAAATCACGCATCAACAGTTTGGCGCTAGAAGGAGGGCCTCATTTAGTGTTCATCATTTATCAGGAGAATCTCTAACTTACCGGTCCTACAACAGCAAATGGCTCGCCAACATGAACCTGAGCAAACCAATCAGGGTGCTGAGGGGATTCCCCAAGTCCAAGAGGACACCTTTTCCAAAATACCTTCTGTCCCGTAAAATGCTGCAAGGGATATCCCTTCAAGTTCACAACTGGACCCTGTCATTAGAAGCTACCTGGAGAGGTTCGACAATACTCTCCAGACGGTCAACCAAAGGTTAAACCGTTTGGACCAAAGCGTGCCATCCAAATCAGCTAGGGCGGTGCAACCACAAAAATGCCTACAGGTCATGCGAAAGCGCGACAATGGGAAATAACCCGTGCCGCGAGCATTGCAGCGCGTCGACGAAAGGGGAAGCAAGTGGCAAAAAAGGGCCTACGGGCTCCAAAGGGCCAGCAAACACCGACCGCGTCCCAAGCAGAATACCGGTCTGGTTAAGACTCGGTGAAAGGACGCAGCTTGAGCTGTCCCATGCCACGTCACAAGTACACCCCCATAAAAGTGATGGGCGGGGCGATTCTTATCACCGCCGGCAAAATGATCTAGATCGTCATCGTGCGAGAGGTTCCCATACTTCGCGGGGTGGTTCTTACCACCGTGAAGGTCGTGAAAATACCCCGCACCGTTCATTGCAATCACATACCTCTAGCCAGCGTGTGTCGAGAGTGGCCGAAACCGCCAGTCGAGGCGAAGAGGAACCCGACCTCCGGACTTTCCTCAACCATAATCACAAAGTTCGAACTCGCATG